GTGGTCACAGTACGTAATGGGGCAGCGAAATAGGAATGACCGCAGATGGTGGTGATATGGTGTAATGATTCCACACTAACACGATGCAATGGAGTAACTGGATGTGTACACTACAACAAGGGTACCAAGAGGACAGAGATACTGAAGCACCATGTATGACTTCGCTTCACTTTCCGTTGCATGGCGATCGGCACTGGTTTGAGGTCAGAGGGGTCAGACGTGTCGCGTCCAGATGGGTCACGTGTTCCTTGGGGTAAATAGCCGAAGTGCGTGGTAAGTGGATAGGCGATTCAGCGTAGGATTGAAGCAAAGCAAGATGACTTGGAAAATACTGTCTAATGATGACAGTGGCTGCACCAAAGGCGGACCAAATTGACAACTATCGCTTTGTACCGTGACTGGAAGGAATGGTAGTAAGCTGATCGGGTGAATCTCAAAAAGATCTCTAGAATAAGACCACAAGAGTTCTTGTGCGACGTGAGGAAAAATGAATTATTCGATAAAATTCAAGCACTGTTGACTTCGAAATTGCCAAGGCACAGTTTGCTGGTGATCTGCGAATGACATGCAAAAGATGAACAGTGCTAGGAGGAGCTCGAGGAGCTCGAGGAGCTCGAGGAGCCAAATCGAATGATAGTACGTAGGTCTCTGTGCGAGTATATCAAGATTTAAAGGCGAGAAAGCAGGAGGACACTTATTTTACGACCACTGGGTAGACAAGCACTCCTGAAGAGAACAATTCCCCAACAGCGGCCAGGACAGGCAAATAGACGCGTAGTTCTTCCTTAAATCAAGAACATTGCTTAAGTAACAGCACAATTAATTCATCGACACCGAGTCACAGTAGCACACAGACCAGTTGCTACATTGAGAGGGCTGCTTTCAAGGTCGAATGATAAAACCTTACCAAGGAATTAAACACTTAATCTATAAGAAATGCTGCAGTGAAAATGCTAAACCCTACATCGGACAAACAGGAAGCTTTCCACTTGGATCAAAAAACATTAAAAGGTAATAAGGAGGCACGACAATTTTTTATTGGTTTTGATTCACGAGGATGAGGCAGGTCACCATTTTGACCTGGAAAACGTAACGATTCTAGCACATGGGAATACGAAGTAGGCATGCGAATTCTTAGAGGCATGACACTCCACAAAGAATTTGATCAATCGGCACTTTGGGTTGGACGCCATCTACGCACATCTGCGAGCAAAGAACTACCACCGTGGTCGAATAACCTCATTGGAAAAGGGAGCCATACAAACAGCTCGGGCAACATTCTCAGCAGCGGAGACAAACGGGCCGTGGTCAAGAGATACGGGTCGAAGAGGTCACTTTCATAAGTCACATGCTCAAACGGACGATAACGATGACCTATTGAAAGGCACGCGCATGACTACCCGGTTCACACCCATCGCTATACCAGAATGCACTACGCACTGATGCACTGATGACGTCACCTCGAGAGGTGATGAAAGTTTGCAAAATAATTGCCAAGCTCAGAGAATAGCTCAACAAACAAATGAACAATCGGAGTTACTAACATTTATTTCTAAATCAGGGAGTAAGCCCCTTGCAGCAGTTGTTACCCCCAAGTAATTTTTAAACTGCACTGAGTAGATGAAGTTCGGCAGATGCATACAATTCGCATCGTCTGATCAGCGCCGATAATGATAACTTTTTATTAAATACAACAGTCTGAAGAGGAAAACATACTTAAAGGGAAACAAGAGAAAAAGCGCCTATCTTGACCCTAAATTCAGCGCAGTCTGAAGCTGGCCAATAATTATTTTTGATGAAAAGTCTCTGGTATAATCCGGCTTGTGGCGACAACCACACCGAACGGAAGGAGTCGAGAATTGGTATGATGCCTTAGAATTCTGAAGGTTTTATTGGCTTCAATCCAATGACCTGAGGTCAACAACTGTTTGCCTATCGAACGTGCCGGCGTCTTGCATGAACACATAGTCTGACTTGGGCCTGCTTGCTGCATAGTCACGCAATGAAACCGTTTGGCCTATGCTATTCATTCGGGAAATCAGGTTCCTATCGGTTCCGCCTACGTAACTAGCTACGCTGTTGCATACAATGCAATGGGAGTTGGTCTCGATAAGTAGTGTTTCCTTCCGTGAATGCAGTGGCAGTTTATGAGTCCGGTCGATTGTTGCAAATTTAACAGTAAAAATGTGCTCCGTGTAGCGGAACTCAGATCTCAATCCCGATATTAGGTGGAAATCTGTCTCTGGGTAGACGATGGGGCGCTAAACGACTGCAACGGAGGAGTTGTCATTGTATATGAGACTCAAAAGGCACCAAATCGAATTGGTGATCGACTCCTCCGGATCATGCGGTTGTTTGCACGGTGTGTCATGACGATTATATAGAAACAGTGACATTCTGTGAATTTTCATCTCGGCACCCGTACCATCTGATTGCAATCATGTCTATGTTATGGAAATGAGATCCTAAGCATGTGCTGCCTGACATAGCTGAAGTTTGGCAATTTTACCGAGCAGATATTGCGCATTGATGTGCATGCAGAAAGGTTTTCGGTTCGTAGCAGCGTACCGAAAAACGAGTAGTTCGGCTGACCATTGTATGGTTGGCCCCTAGCCGTTTTCTGACTATATTATCAGTGAGTCGCTTGAATTTGCTTTCGACAGCCTGGCAAGTAAGCCCACTGGAAACTTATTTTGCGTAGTGTATGAAATATGACTACATGATTGCATAGGAAGATCCTTACGTTTGCCAAACTTGTTACATGTTCAGCATTTGAATAGCTTGATCCCTTCCTTTTCCTACTGTGGCACTTTAACTAGGGAAACATTTTCGCTCGCCGCTTTGAACCGGAGTTCAATTTGCAGTCTGTGCCGAAAAGGTAACAGATCATCTGTGCTGGATCATGTGCTTACGAACAAGGTACATACGATTGATTTACTGGTTGTGGACTGCTTCTTGGGTAGCAGTTATGATACACATCACTTTCAACTTTATCTGCTATGTAGGATATCGTCATGAGAACCAGAGATGGTGCGCGCCATAGCATACCGTAGGTACCTGACCCAAAGTGTCAGTACCACAACCAAGTCGTTCCTCGCCTGGCTCGAATTCATCAGTAACTTTAAGCAACTGGTTACGAATGCTACAATGGTTTGCGGTTTTAAAAATGGCATACTAAGATTTAGACAATTCGGATAATGTATGTCGCTCTTTAAGGCAACTCAGCACTAACACAAACTTGGGTGGTCGCTTCTTTAAACTAGCAAAAAGCTACAGCCGCCTGCAGTGACGCAGAAATTTCCTTCCTATCCGTGCGTGCATGTCACTTGTGGAACGCTCGCTTCAATCGGTCGATTCTGCACCTATATTAGCCATATTTAAAAGTCGGATGTATGACACACTGAGCCAAGCACATTTGTTACGCAACATTATCTCTCCGTCCTGCTCCCAGAAGTAGGTTGGAGTCATTATTGGTCGCGATCTGGATCGGCGAAACTACGCGAAGTGCAAGGACACTACATTAAAAAGATAAATTCACTGTTTTGACAGTAAAGATGCCATCTGCAATTATCCATTAACGTTTTTCGTTAGCACAGCAGTCCGCCCAGTGGAGCTTGTGAAGCCTTACTCCTTAACTCGTATTAAGTTTTTGTTCCTTAACCACTGACGTTCGAGTAGCCTTAGTACCATTTGTTTAGAGCGACATCGATGTCTAACGGTAGAACACCACATTTTTGATTAAACAAAAATGTCTAGTTGATGTTTATAAGCTAGTAAATACCGTTCTCTTCGCAACAGTAGGCGTTGGCTGACATATCAAACACGGAACGTAAAGCATGCAACTACTACTGACCTGCACTAACAACCGGTTGTTACTCACGGTTGAAATGTCCTTGTCCAGCTTCATCGGCAACATTAATATAGTCAGTGGTTAATGGCAAAACAATAACAAATGTAAGGAGAAGCAGATAGCTCATTGTTTTGAGTAGCTCAAGAGCCTAATTCAAAGTGTGCTCGCCATCCCCCATAGGAAAACCTCTAACATTCTTCCGCACAAATTTGGTTGTTTATTTCTGCCCTCTTGAAATTAGGTTCTGTAAGCTTATTTTTTGCATAACAAAACAAAGTCTGTAGTGGAGCATTAGGGCGGTGTAAAGGGCATAATTGTTAAACTTGTTACACGGCGAAGCAATCAGGTGGCAAACATAACCTCTTCATGTATACGGGAATCATCGGTGGTGCACATACGGTAGGTTCTCTTGGTAATCAGTACAATGCTCATACTGTCCATAATGCTGTAGTGAATTGGCGGCTTATTTTACGAACTCCCTACTCGGGATCCACTGTGCCCTCTGTATGGCATTGAACTGCAACGCAGTTGGGAATGAGCCACGCTATGTCGCTTTCGTTAAAAACCAAGACCTAGTAAATGTCTGCTTTATCGTATTTGTTGAAAAGTACCAGACTAGCTCCCACAGTTTTGTTGTATGTTACTTTGGTGACGCACATCAGCGGTGTCTGTGCAGAGCTTAGCGTTCAATATGCTCGCAAAATTCCCTACGTTTGACCCACGTGTCTACATATCAATACAACATGACAATTTGCGCAACACACTTCCCCCTGTGATGAAATTTCAGGCACGTAATGAGCTCATCCTCAATGTGGAACATGAAATTCAGCATCACGTTACCCTCATAAATAAAAATTATGCGCCTTAAGGTTGTGTGGCTCACGAGGTATTGAGCAAAGCAGCTACAAGCACCTTCAGATAGTTGTTTCTACGCGACATACCAATGTAACAAAAGGCAGCTATGTGTACAAAGTTCAGCCCAATGTGTGAGTGCTCGATCAATGGCCTGGTGGCGCCAGTGGACCAATGGTTTTAATCGGACGTTCGTCCTTGTCAGTCAGCTTCACTTGCAGTTCAGATCGTGGCGAGTTAACAAGAGCTTACCGCCAAGTGGATTAAGCAACGAAGATTGAACCACCGGTGAACATACATGGTTAATTGGTCGTTTGTCCTGACGAGTGCTTCTATTCTTCTAGTATTATTAACGCAAAACAATTTGATAAATGGTGAGATCCCCATGTAACTATTGCGTTTGCCTCTACGTAATTGTGTGTCCCTTCAATGCAGTAAATGATGAATTTCTGAGTTAATGAAAATAATCGGTTTCTGTTCAGATTCCTAGGAAAATTTATTAGTTTTGTTTTATTGTAGGGTGTTTTACTGTCAGTACATTTCCAATACAGATTTCTCTGCAGGTAAAGTAGGAGCAGGCTAAGTCGCTTAGCCCTTTCATCTATTTCGCATACTTTCATGAATGTAGAAAGATGACTTAAATGGTGCAAATTGAATTCCCTAGATCTATGCGCAGTCGAATAGTAGTCACAAATCCTGAAAAGCACTGAACAATCGTTTTATCCTTTCCAGAAACGTCAACAATAGTCAATCCATACGAATTATCTGCTGTTAATCTGCAACCGATAGCCCCACTTTTAACAGTGCGTGCTTAATTCCACTGAGCAACGGTGATGGTTAACGTCAAAGAGTACTAGGTTACCGGATGCGAAACCAAGCGGTTCATCGTTCACTGACTTACATATTACTGTCGTGTAACGTACAAGGTAGCCCACCGAGAAACTAATTCCGGAATGTTTCATTGTTTCCTACCTGGACCGCCAGTTAATCTGTAAAATTATAGACATACTGGGATACCTTTAGATTGCACGGCAGTACTAAGCGTTAAATGACATAAGTTGAGGTCGCTTGTTTAAATTCCGGCTGATATCCCCAAGTAAGAAACATGCACTGCATGGGTAGCCGCATGTTGTCCAATGTGGTGCTTCATTTCCACCGTCTGTTCACATCACCTGTTTTTATAGTGATCTACTTTATTAAACATTTCCATGTGGTTAACTCTCGCCCCCAGATTACAGCGCAGCTTCTGTCATTCGGACTGCGCTATCCACCTATGCTTCTTGCTCGACTGATTAGACTATTGTGCTAGTTATATTTCACGCTGGTCGGCAAATGCATCCTGGACTATTAGATAGGCATCATGACATTAAGCTCGTGGTTACCTCCCTCCGTAATCTAGTCAGCTCCCAAAAAATTTGAAAGCGTTAATTACCTAGGCAAGGATCTTCATCGGCAGCTTGAAACCAAGGTTGTACTACCAATTGAGCAACCTCGACAAACGTGTGTGTTAGGCACCATTTCATTAAGTGCTACTTCTGGACTGCGTTACAGCTATGTTTCGTCTTTAACACTAGAGCTTCTTGTGTCATAGGCGATAAGTAGCCGACTTGTGTTCTAAAACCTTCCGAAAGTATGAATTCCCCGGCGTTTCCATGTTTATTCCCATTTATTGCTGTTCTACATCCGGATATTTCCCCTGCATGTGATTATCATTCACTTTGATCTGTCCGTCCTTTACCCCAACAAGATCAAATCAATTCAGATGCATAGTTGACGCCAGCAAGCAAATCTTGTGTGGTAAATAGAAACACTCCAAACGTCTGAAGAGTGGGGATAGAGTGACAATAGCTGTTCATATGTTTTACCCAAGGTTAATGAATACTATTCATGTTGTCGGATACACAGCGAACTAATTATCTAACGTGACATTCAGGCTGTTAGTGGCGAGCAAAACGAATACATTTCCAGTATAAAGCAGTTTGTGCGACTATTTTTTCCTCTCTTACAGGAAAATAACTGGTTATTCCCAGTCCAGCGTTATTTTCTTGGCTGCACGTTCCGGCTTGCTTAAATGATTATAAACAAGTTATCTTCGAATGCGCTTCGTCGCTATAATCGAAATAATCTAATATTTAACATGGGATCATCTTAATGCGCATGCATGTCGGATGTTGATCCCTGATGTTAGAAAAGCTCTGCTATTACGTATTTATTAGCTTTTGAAATTAAGGTATCAATAGAGTTCTCATATACTCCTCATCGGGTTGTGCCGATACTCGCTACCATTTCATCCGCCAATTGCAAAGCGATTTTATCTTCCGTCCCTACATGGCGTATTCGTGAAGGGCTCACTGTTATCATTGGATGATTTTTTTATTCCATAGCTGTAGGACCCACAAAACTGGAGGTGGTATTAATATAGTACTCAGAGAAACCCATCAAACCCTACTTCGGGACACCAAACAGAAAACCTGCTTAGTCCATGCCGAGAACTATGTTAAACGCACTCCCATTCATGTGTTCGCTTTCGCTTCAAACATTTTTAAGCAAAGCGGAAGAGTTATAACATAGTCCAATGACATTAAACAGTGCTGATTGCTCTGCCCCTCTAGCTTGAGAAGCACCTAGTTTTAACAGTGAGTGCTGGTTTAATTATCGAGAAAGGCCCACTGATGGTGAACCATTCTGATCTACTTGTTGCTTTTATACATCACTTACCTCAAGCCATACGGACTTTGTATCAGTCATTTTTGTTCATATCTGATTTCCAAAGCGGATAGTCCGTGCGACATAAGCGGTTTGTCCTGGTTAACTGCAAGACAAATGAAGGATGATGGTACAATAACGATCTAGACAGCTGCTTCGGCACATGAAACAAGCTGCGATCACCCATCACGTAGTCGCGGCCAGGAACCAAAACCATGATCGCTCAACGCATGTTTATGGAACTAGGCTAAAGGCGGTCTGGTCAAACTTCGTGCCGTGAGGTTACATTTGATATAACACAACATATCCTTCACTGCCATGCTATTCACAAATATTTGGTAGGATGGTTTGGCCCGTAAAAGCAAAACTGGCTGCACGGTGGCAATGTGTCTTGTAGTAATTAATGGCGCAGCTGTTCATTTGCTCACCGAGCTTGGCAATCAGATTGCAAACATCTCATCAGCAAACTAAGTGACATCATCAGTGCGCAACGTTAGGTGGTGCTCACCATAAATGCCGGTCGGTGTATACAATTTGGGGTCTGACAATCACAACTCATTCAGATTAGTTCCTGAGATTAACTCTTCAAGTAGACAGGCGGGTACGATTGTTAACAGGTGTATTACTGCCACGAAGGATGGCGGGCAGCAATTCTATTGGCACAATAGCCTCATAATCTAAGCAATAATTCTCTACTCTGACTGTTCGTTTGTTTGCATGCACGTGGTGGTTTTCAATCGCTTGAGTACTTTCCATTTCATCGTTTCACTTGTTGTATCAATATGGAGGTGCATATTAGTAGCATTATAACGGGAGTACCATGCCTCAAAGAACAATGTTTATTCTCGTGTGTCACCACAAGTCATTATTTCGTTTCACTTTAATTAAAGCCATGTAGAGTACTGTTTCATAGCTGGCAAACCTGGATAAAGCGTGATCTGGTTGCGCCGGGGAGCCCGCAGCTAGGTACAGACAAAAGTATGTAGGGCTTGTTCTCCCTGCGATCATTAGTGCATTGGTGTCGGAGAAGATTGGAGCATTCGCTGCACGTGTGGTGGACTCTGCTGGCACTGAGAAGGAGAGTAATTTTTCTCATACTTCGGTGGCGACTGACTTAAAGGCTCCGTCGCGTCAGAAATGCATGGTGAACGGATAAGGTGGAACAGATGGAATACCACGCCAAACGTCGACAACATAAGGAATTCTTTGACTCCTTGAATGCAGTGTATGAACCCAATTTGCAAATTCGGAGGACCGTGAGTGGATTCTACTTCAGGATTTGCCTGCACACAGCCCGGATTCATGATGCAGATCTGGCGAAAGCACTTCGCCTGTCTTGAACAATCGTTCAGTTTGACTGATTTACATTGCGGGGACTCCTACAACGAGTGATGAAGGTGTGTCTTGCCGACACGCCAACACTAGATGAGACGCGGAGGGCAATTGCTCCGTTGCAAAACGGCAAGTGCGCTGGTTCCGACAGCATCCCGCTTGAAGTATTGAAGAACGGCGGGCCAGTGTTAGTACAATACTCCACACCGCCTAGTTCAACGCGCGTGGAATGAAGAGGAAGTACCGGCAAGATGAAGAATACCTTTGGGCTGCCACAGTGCAAGGGCAAGGGGAGCAAGCAATGTCGCACGAATTATCGTGGCATCAACTTGCTCAGTATTGTTGGTAAAGTGATTGCACTAATCCTGCACAATCGCCTAGGCGTCGAGGTCGTAGAACCGAATGTGGCGGAAGAGTAATGTAAATCTTTCGGGTCGCACCAACATAGAAATGCTGTTGGCAGTTCATTAGTTGTAGGAGAAGTGCGGAGGACGAGGGAGGTCAACCTTCCGATCAAACCGGTCAAGTTGCAATTCATGAGGCTGGGTAAGTGTGAGCACAGTCGAACCTACACAGTGGCAGGTCAACCGTTACATCCCGAGCCTTTCGTGCTCGATCTCGTTTTGCTCTCACGCTACGACCTAAAGTCCATGGACAACACGAATAGGCCTTAGCAAAACAGCCTTGGTATGCGTTGGGCGCTCAGGAGCAGCTTCAACACCTGTTCCGAAGAGATTGCCATTGGCCTATTCGTCTCAATAATACGACCAATGCTAGAGTATGGCTCTCCCGCGTACTGTCCTATAACCCGGGGCGAGGTAGAGAAGCTTGAGCGAGTGCAGCATGTAGCCACCAGGCTGATTCCCAACTTACGAGGTGCACCGTACGAAGACCGGTGTAAGAAACTAAGACTGTACACCTTAGCTTATCGTCGAATGCGGATTAATCTCACAATGATGCACCGGATATTACATCTGGGAGATTATCCCATGTTTAGACCGCTGTGTAATCCGTGCACACCAAACAGCACACGAGGACACTGGTACAAGCTTGCCGTACCGGATTTGAAGCGGGTAGCTCACCAACTCTGTTTCGGACGCAGTTTGGTGAATGTATGGAACAGCCTGCGGCGGCACGTAGTTGAGGTAAAGTCGGTGTCGGAATTGTAGAAGTTTCTTGACAAACACTTTACGGACGCAAAATATATTGATCGCAACACAACATAACGGGTCTTTGTCCATGAGTGACATTGGATGCAGCTACACAGAGCAAACTCTACTTTCTGCTTCCAATCAGTAGTCATCAATAAGTAATCAGCGATTATACTCGCTGTATA